TGTGAATATATAAGTATAGATACTTGTAGGAAACTGAAAAAATGGAAAGAATTTAGTGGTCAGGCTACCGCTTCTAGTCTTTTTCTATGCATATTTTTACATAGTTAAGATAATTTAAACCATTATCTCCCTAAATCATTTCTTCCCCAAATCATGTCTTCATGCAATGAAAAACTCTTGACAAACCTTTTTTTTTTTTGAGAGTTATGCTTTATTTGGCGGGAGGACTCAAGCTGGGATGACAGCCTCTCAGATCGCTCTGAGGGACTGCTCCGAAGAGGAAGGGGAGGAGCTAGGACATACAGCAGCTTTATAACAAAGACCAGGTAGTTGGAACAATGAAAGATTACTTGTTATCTAAAGAAAACCAGGCATCTCAAATTAAAGAATTTAGTGCTTTTCTATGTATGTATAGGAAGAAGCAAACATTTGGGCGCTTTGAACTCATTCCTTTGACAAGCATCTAACTATCTAGGGCCAGTATCCTCACAAACATTTTTAATGATCTTATAGTATTCCACCATATAGGTGTAGCATACATTTTTAGCCATTTCTCTAATAATGGATGGTTAAGTTTCAATCAGGTTTTCACCTGTGTAAATGCTACTACTTGTGTGTGTAAGTCTTGCCCATATTCCCGGTCATTTCCTTAGAGTCGATAGGTAGAAACGAAACTACCTGCCCAGCCCTTCATCTCCATCCACTGTGCTGTCTCCTCCCTGTCACAACCAGCTTCTCTGAAAAGCTGTCTGTGTGCCCTGGCTCTGTTTCCAACCTAAAACCTGGCTTGAAAACCTTCAGTGGCTTAGTGTTTACTATGGGGTAGACACTAAAATCCCTGCCATGGTCTTCAAGACCCAACGTGGAACCAGCCTGCCTACCTGCCTCTCCAGCCTCTTGCCCATTCTCTCTGGCCTCAGCCACACCGGCTTTTTGATTTAATGGCGCCTTCCTCTTTGTCCAGCCACAGGACCTTCAAACTTGCAAAGCCACTCTCTTGGACAATCTCCCCTCCCCTTTGTGAAATAGGAGGTGGGACATCGGCCTAGAGGAGGTGTTAAGAGGTTTGAAGGGAAGTGAAGGTATCAAAAGTTCACTTAGGAGCTAAAGAGAGGAATTGACCGGACAAGTACACAAAGGATTTCCAGGTGGCAGTGAGGGCCGCTTTGATGGTGTATTCAGAGTTAGGAACGTGAGATTCACATCAAGGGAGATGAAATCGTCCTCCAGGGCTCTGATCACCTTTAGCTTCTGGAGAAAAGAACTTACTTAAACTCAGTTCCCCTGGGGAGTTCAGTGGCTGCTTCCTAATGTTTATTTTCTTCAGTCTTCTGGAAAGGCTGTTCTGCCTCCTCTTTGCCTATTCAATTTATATGAGTGATGCCATGTTTTGTTATTAGAATAAGTGGAGGACCTCACAAATAAGTACTGCTGGGATCACTGGAAACCTCAACGTGAAAATCTTTATTTCTAGGTTCATTGGGAAGTCGTAACGCTACTCTGTCCAATAGGATTTCTACTGCCCACGTGTAGCTATTTAAATTTAAACTAAACTTTGTAAGAAAGTTAAAAATTCAGTTCCTTAATCACACCAACTACACTTCAATAGCCACTTGAGGCTGGTGGCCACCAAATTAGACAGCGGAGATAGAACAGTTCCATCATTGTAGAAAGTTCCTTTAGACAGCCCTGATCTAGAGACTAGAAAAGGATCAAGCTCAGCCATCCCTGGGGCTAGTCAATATGTAGAATGATGATCCAAGAAGAATAAATGGACAGTCAGCCTTGGCTAGTTTGTTACAGGTTGTGATAAGCAGTTTGCTGATTCATCTAGCATTAAAAAAAAATCGGCATTAAAATTCCGCTCCCTCCTGGCACTTCCAGTCATTCACAAAATTCAGCAGAAAAGCCAGCCTCCCTGGGCCTACGTGTCCCTGGTCTTCCATTGCCTACATATTTGTCGTGGTCAAGTGACTCAGATGGCCTGCTGACCCAGCGATGTTCAGGCTGAAGAATAAGCACTTGTCAAGCCCTGTGGATGTTGTTTGTTTTCTGCAGATACATCTTGTAAACGCTAGACCAGCGGATTTTTAATGTTTTTAAGATTCAAAGCCCTGCTCATAGATGAGATACCAACACTTTTGACCTGGCCCAACAATGAAGGAGGAAGGGAAGTCATGTTGCATGTGAGAGTCATGCAAACACAGGGAAGTGCATCCTGTTTCCTGTTTATCTTCTTTTGGGTCTGTTTCACTTTTTTTTGGCTCCGCCAGCAATTCCTCCCACCTCCAAATTCTGGGAGCCCTCTAAAGAGGCATTTTATCTTATAATTATTGTAGGTCTTTCTCACACATACAGGGTCTTGATTTATCTCTATGTTGCAGGTCTGAAGATAATGTGGTTTTTGTGAAAATGGAAAAAGTTAAGGGGAGTAAGAACTGGAGTCTCTTTCTTTATCTTCCTGCCTTTTAGGAGCTGGGGGGTATTTCCTGAGCTAGGAGGGAGTTCTTTTCAGAGTTATGGACTCCCCTCCGCTTCTCCGTACCCTGAGGAGGGGCCTGCCACAAGCCACACAGGGAAGAACTCTGACAGCCCAGCCTGTGTGTGTACAGACTAACCTGAAATAGCTGGATGTAGCTGTAGCAATATGGTCTTTCACAAAGATGTTTCTAAACGCAGAAGTCTGCTGACTCTGCAACTTGATAACCACTCCAGTTATGAGTGAGGTGAGCTGATTTTAATTGTCTAGCTCAACAGTAATTTTAGACGCTGCTCTTTTTGAACGATCAAAACCCAAAGAAAGTATTTTATACTCATGTAACCATAGTTTGCAAAATATGTTCTCAAGCATCATTTCATTTGAGACTCATGATAAATCTGTGGGCTGGAGAAAACATTAGGTTCCGAGAGGTAAAGCAACTTGCTCAAGGTCACACAGCTTGTGGGTGGCAGGCCTGAGTTTTAAATCCCAGTTGCTTTTCTGAGAATATTGCTTTACTTCTCACCTGTATTTTAGGTTCGTAAAATAAAACACATTTAAGTTAGGCAATTGATGGCACAAATACGATAGTTGGTTCAACAGATAATGTTTATTGAGTGTCTATAATACAAGAGGTCGGTGAAAGAGCTCCTGTAATTGGGTGGCGTGGGTTCTGCCCACAGGGAGCTTTATTTGGAACAGCTGAAGCAGTACATTTATAAGGCATATTATCCTAGGACAAACGAGATGCTTAAGTGCTTATGGATGCTGAGAAAATGCAAGAGTTCTTCACAGAAGGCTCTCTGAAAGAAAGAGATTTTGAATCAGATCCTGAAGGAAAATGCACAAAGGCTCAGGGAAGGGCACTCTAGGCAGGTGCAGAGGCATGGTGATGGGAAAGAGCTGTAGAGAGTCAGCCGCAGCTTGGTGGAGTGTTAAGAAAGAAAGACTGAGCACTTGTTCAGTCTTTATTGAGCACCTGTCCTGCAGAAGGTACTGTATAGCACTGGGTTTACAGAGGTGTGCAAAATAGGCATGGTCTCTGCCTTCATATTGCTTAGACTTTGCGGGGAAAGACTATTGATTGCTGGTAATAAAATAATTACACAAATATTTCGGACAGTGATTGTATAGCACAACAATATAAATTAGAGTGGCACTTGAGTGGGTAGGTGAAGGAGCAGAAATTAAGTAAGCAAATGGTTTTGATGTAGGGAGCAGGGAAAGGCATGCTCAGGAAATGGCACAGCATGTGCAGAGGCCCAGACAGTATTGGAGGAACTAGAAGAAGGCCTGTGTGCTGGAGTTGAGAGAGTAGAAGGGTGAGTGGTATGAGATGAGGCTGGGGAGAGGGCACGAGCTTGATCAGCTTTTGGTCTTTATTGTAAGAGCTGTGGGAAGACTATAAAGAATTTTAATCGGGAATGACATGATCAAATCTGCCTTTAAAAAAGTCACTTTGGGTGCAATGTGAAGAATGTTTTGGAAGGGAATAATAGCTGACCCCTTAGGAGCTAGAATCCTAAGGCGCCCCAATCCCAGGCTATGTATGGTGGTGGCCAGGTGCAGAGTGGTGGTAGTACAGATGGAAAGAAGTGGAGAGTTTCCATAGAGATTTAGTAGATCGAATTTACAAGACTTGGTAATATGTTAGGTAATGGAGAAGCAAATGGTAAGGATAGTTCCTGAGTCCCAGATGCCCCAGTGGAATGGACGATGTGGCTGGCCATGGAGATATGGAACCTTGGAAAGGGACCCAGTTTGGGGAAAATGATGAAATCAGCTTTGGGTATCAGGCAGGTTGGGTCTATGGGTCAGGAGCTCAAGAAGAGAACTGGGCTGGATTTACATGGGAAGGTCTTTGGTACATAAATGACAGGGGAAGCTCTGGGTGTGGATGAGTTTTCCCAGGGAGAAAAGAGCATTAAAGGAGGAAGGAAAGACCAAGCAGTGAGGATGCTCACAGGAGCAGCTAGAGAGGTGGGAGGGAAGCCAAGATGCTTGAGTGTTATGTCATTGAGGTAAAGGAAAGATATGTAAAAGAGGGGGAGTCTCTTTCAATTTATTTCTAGGCACATTTCCCCATCACCACCCAAAATCTATCACACGGCAGCCGTGCATCTCCAGACGGGAGGCACTTCTGTGGTACACCGTTCCAAGGTATATTTATTTATTTTTCTGCTACTGTGACAGATTGCAGCGTGTGTGTGTTTTCTGCCCAGAACAATAACCTCCTTTCCTTTCTCCTACGTCATTGCACTTTTGGCTGTCACTGCGGTTTGTTGCAAATCTGAGCTCGTTTAATCCCACGGAGTACTAAACATATCTGGTCTCGGTAGCTCTGTAATTCTACTCCAGGCGCCCCACCTTCATTTGCCAGCGGGGAATCTCTTGATGAGCTAGCTGCTCACAGCTCAATACTGAAACTCTGTTAGCTAGTGAAATACGTTTGAAGGCCTCACTGGTGGAATGTTCCACGTCAGGCTTGTTCCCATCCTCTCTCTGCATTCTCTCTTTTCAGGATGGCTATAGCTCCTCCAAGTTACTGTTTCGTGGCCTTCCCGCCACGTGCGAAGGACGGTCAGGTGGTATTTGGGAAGAATTCAGCTCGGCCCCGGGATGAAGTACAGGAGGTTGTGTATTTCTCAGCTGCTGATCACGACCCCGAGAGCAAGGTGGAGGTAAGTCACGTGTTAGGGGCTCTCAGTTAACATGTATTCTCTTTCTCTGGCTTTGCCCGGCACCTTAACGTCTTACATGGAAGCCTGCTCACTAGTCACAACTGTCACATGGATTCTGTTAATTCCTGTTTCCATTTAGTTTTGTTTGTATCCCTAAAAACGGTCATGTGGAGAATTCTATATTCGTTGCTGTGCCCCATGTTTTATAATTAAGTAAAATATTTACACAGTGCTGAAATCAAGTCTACAAAATAGTATATATTCATAGAAGTCTAGCTTCTATCTTTGTATCATTTACTTCATTTCCTTTTCCTTCTATAGTTAACCATGTTTTGGAAGTTTTTTGGTTTATTCTTCCATTTACAAATAAATTACATATAAACTTAAACTCTATTGGGAAAGAAGTGGTAGCCAGCATAAAAAAGAGTACACTGTAGAGTCAGAAATCTGAGAATCTCTTTAAACTCTCTGAAGTTAGTCAGTTGTGTGGCTTGGGGAAATTATTTATTCTGTTAGTGAAAGTTGATTCCCTTGAAAGATAAGTAATCACACACTTCTTGTGTGTATTTTGTGAGGATTAAATAAAAGTATATGTGAAACTAAAAAATTACATGTATACGTAACAAACTACACACACACACACACACACATATGCATGCACGTATTTACCCCCATCCCTTTCCTCCTTTCTTAGATGAATAGTAGCATGCTATATATACTTTTTTTCCACTTTGCTTTTTTCAACTAACACCATATCTTGTGGGCCACTCCATCTGGTCTATAAAGAGATTCTTCATTCCTCATTTAGAGCTGTGTAGTGTTCCATTGTATGGGTGTTATCAAACTTTAATTGGTCCCATATTGCTGGACATTTGGGTTGTTTTGCAGCCTTTTGCTGTAACAAATAGTGCTGAAGCAAACAACAGCCTTGTGCATCTGTCACAGGATCTCATCTTGGTTATATATTTTTATCATGTTAAAAGATTATCCATCAATTCCTATTTTGAGGGCTTAAGAAAACTGCTTAGTCAGTATTTCTTTGGGATAGGTGCCTAGAAATGGGATTTCTGAGTCACAGATATTTAGGTATGTAATTTTGTTAGATATTGTCCAATTTCCTTCCGTGAGTTGGTGTACCATTTTGCACTCCCACGAGCAGTGTAAGACAGTGCCTGTTTTTCCATATTCCCAGAGTGTGTGGTCAGACTTTCATGATGGCTATTTCTTGTTAGTTTTACATTCTGCTCTTTTACTAAATTCTTTTAATAGTTGCATCAGCTTTTATTATTATTATCATTAACTTTTTAAAAACCGAGTTATAGTCGTTTCACAATGTTGTGTCAGCTTTTATTATTAATTCTCTTTGGGTTTCCAGGTATATTGTTGTAACACCTGCAAATAGAGATAGTTTGATTGTTCTTAAATCTCTAATTATTTCCTTCTCTGTTTGGCTTATAGCTTGGATTCAGTGTTAACAGTGATGGAACTAGTGGGCATCTTTGCCTTTGTTCCTGACCTGAGGTGGGCAGGCTCTAGTGCTTCCACATTAAGTAAGATGCTGGCTTTATAACAGAGGTTTATATAGTTTGTAGTGTTAGAAAGTGTACATCAATTCATACGTTGAGTACTTTAAAAAAAGAAAAACCCTTGGGAATAGGTGTTACATTTTGTTAAAGGTCTTTCCAGGGATTATGGAGGTAATCCCCTGATTTTTTCTTTCTGTTTAGTGATAAATTGAACCATCTTTTCATTCATGGAATAAACTTCTTGGTTAGGATATATTTAGTTGTGTGTTTACATGGTAGTTGCTTCTTAAAGGATGAAGAATTTGGAGAAAAAAAATTTGGGGGCTAGTAAATTATAAGCTCCTGCCACTGACATAATCTCTGCTCTTTGGTGTTCTATGCTTTATAAAATACACTGATTTTTCTGGTGATTTAGGTTGTGCTGGGTTTTAAATGGGTACTCATCAATGTGTGCTTCATTCTCTTACCTGAATCTTTATCTGTTTCAATCCTTCAAAAGCATTAAGTAGCACCAAAGAGCAACAGAACTCCTCAAGGTGCTGCCGTGTTAGGTGGTACATTCAGAGGCACTGAGATGAACAGGCGGAGTTGAGCGTGACGTGGCATGAGCCTGTGGTGGGGCAGTGGCAGACTGCCTCCCACAGGACTTTTGCCAGTACCACTTGCCTCTCATGTTGCACTAACTTGGTCCAAACCCCTAAACTGCACTGGGACTTTGCTTTCATTCAGGCACGGAAGAGTAGCAGGCTGTCTGGTGACCATGCTAGGTTTTAAATAGGTATTCATTAATGTCTGAATGCCCATGTTGTTGGGATATGAATGTTTCTCTGTGTTCCTGGAACAGAGTGGACTTGGTATGGATGAAGTTTGCTTAGTTTGAGTTGTTACTGACTTTCCCTGTCTGCCTCCTCTAAATGTTTCTATCTTTCCCCCAGAGTCATGCAAACTGAAACAACACTTTGATTTTCATGTGGGTGGATTTCCCAAAGATGGCTGGACCAAATCCCATTCCATGTGTACTCTTTACAGTGTGATGGATGCTTCTCCAGTAAGTGGGGGGTTTATGCCCCCTACTCTTGCCATGAATCTTGGTGAGGGCTTGTGATGGCATCATACAGTGAGGCATGGTGGGGGTGATGCTGTGTGACCTCCAGGACAGGTCCTAAAAGGATTCAGTTCCCTCTTGTCTCCTTCTTTTGGAACTCAACCCTAAGAACCCAGGCACCATGCTAGGAGGAACCCCAACTGGTCCACGTACAGAGACCATGGGGGTGGGGCCCACATAGAAGGGAAGCTAAGGTCCCCAGCCTACAGCCAGTGTCAGCTGCCAGACATGTGAGTCAGTGACCTCTCAGTGATTCCAGACCTCAGACTCTGTGGGATAGAGACACACCATCCCTTCTGTGCCCTGTCCAAATTCCCAACGCATCAAATTGGTGAACATAATAAATGATTGTTTTACACCATTTACTAAGTTTTGGGGTCATTTTTTTAGTAGCCATAGTAATTACAGGATTGCACAAAGCCATTTGTAAATACGGCTGAAAGAAATATTTTAGAAAAAAATTGTTTTCTTTTTGGAGGATAGGTTAAATCATTATATATTTTACTCTCATGGTTACAATCATTTTAGGAAATAGATTAGATTCTTTTTTTTTCCTTTTTTATGGATTAGATTTTTTTCACTAGTTAACCTATGGTATAGTAATGCTCAAATACACTGTAGGCTAAATTATGTCCCCTTGCATAAATAAGTGAGTTTGATACACACCAGAATTAGTCCCTGAGGCAGCCCTGACCTTTTCTTCCGAGTTGCCTGTCTGTGCTCTGAGTTGCCTGTGCACATTTCTACGTCAGTATTCTGCAGGCAAAATAACGTTCCAGGTCAAAAGCCGAATTCATGTTCCCCGTACCATTTGTTCCTCTTCTTCTAACAGCACTATTGTCTGGCTCATAGTTTAACCTGGAAACCAACAGGGAACATTGGTCCCCGTTTCAACTCATCCATGGATGCACAGGGTCAGCGTCTCTGGGTCTCGCTGCGTCCTCTCCTGTGTCCCCATCTCCTCCCCGCTGCCCCTGGCTCATTCACACCCACCCCCA